TATCTATTCCCTAGTATTTCTAGCTTATTCTTGAAAATAACGCCGAAATGCCCGTGTTGGAATTTGTCAACAGAAGACTACGCAAAGACCGAGTTACAAGGCCTTGGAAATGAGAACAAAGATTTGGGGTCGGCGATATTGGCTCAAAAGAATAGAGTCGGTCGGGCAAACGGAAACAGGTATTTTTTAAATTCTGGTCTTACCATCTGTGGAAATCGTGCATCAAACGTACCTCTTCCCTCGACTCTCCGTGTCTCGAGGTTTGGAGATATATAGTTCTTTCTGGTAATAGCTATCGCGAATCACAACGGCATTAACTGAGCCAAAATTATTATATTTTTACTTAAAGGAGCTAAATCGTTAACATTTGGGACCTAGAAATTGACAAAAGTGGGTCGCAACGCATATAATACTGTAATATGAATGTATATAAACTGATGTACATTCAATAGTTTCCGTTTTTACTCCAATTTCAAATCAGTTATGTTCGGCGAAATAAGCCAGCAGTCTCAATCGAGTGCAAATTTCTAGCGTCTGGTTATTCCAGTCTACATACGCCGTTCGATTTGGTGCAATGTGTCCAGCCTCGTCCCTCGAGTTTCTTTTTACAACTGGGGCTGAAGCGCATTATGGTACACGATTCGAGTACCAATGGTAAAATGTTTATTTTGTCTTAAATATTGGATATCAAAAGCCCATCTTATTCCGGTAAGATCACAACATCAATGTTGATTTAATTTGACAAATAAATCGTGTTTTCAATGTTGAAGATTTTGGATAATATTGAGTTAGAGACTTAACTACTTTAAAACAACGATTGACTTATCGCCATTTATTCAGATGCATCAACACGCAACTACTTAATGGGCATTATAACCTTTCCTGGTGCGGACTCAATTCATCTATAACTGGGTGTGGATACTAGCACGAAAACGGAAGCAGCTACTCCAACGGCCGATCAAAATGCGCTATTTAGTGGCATCGACAATACTTGTAATCAACTGGAATGATGGAAATGAAATGAAATGGGGTTTAACGTCTTACTTTTCTACGCCAAACTTGGAGCCGAATTTCAGAAACCAATGGTTACTGGGTAAAGGAAAACATCGGGTCAAAGGTCACCAGCATAAACCCAGTACAAAAGCACAGCTATATTGTTAGCTATTTCAGATGTGATATACGGTGTTCTGTTTGCTATATAAACTCTACAAATACCTAATGATGCACATCCGGTGTGGTAAAAGTTCAAATAGCTTAAGATAGCCATTACGTGTTGCTATGTCATAATACCAGCTGTGATAGTGCCACTGAGCAGTACAAATTGATGTTTTGTCAGAAAAGTGCAACAAAAATGTATTCTATATGAACTTGTCAAATGAGAAGTGGTATCTGATGTCTGGTAAAGAGTAAGCATAACCTGCCTACTGTATGACATCTATAGGAACTTATAACTAACTGGAACAATGATTTGGACCTGGATCAAATTTTGTTTTTCCAAATCAACTTATACAGAATCACGGGCCATTAATAATTATGGAAATACTAAGGTGAATGGCAAATAAAACCTATATTTTGTTTCGTCATGGATTTTATACAGCATTAGAACATTAACTCTGTTGCTAAGATTCAAAGAAATTAATTCAATGGTTTAAAGATATTGCCGACTTAATTAACCCGGATGGAGCAGAGAAGTAGGACGCCAAACCGCATTTCATAAAGATTTAGATAAAGTGCTGAACCGTCTTGCTATAATAGTTCAAAGATAGGTTGCCAGGTAACGAAACATACACCCACAGCAGCTAAATCGTCCGACCGGTTGTCAAGGGTTTTGTAGATAATTGGGGGCATTTATTTTAAAAGGCAATTTCATACAGATCAGATTACAATTTTCGTCGTTGAAGGTTCACAAGGTTCTAAAAAACTGAAACAAGGACCTTAACTGGAAGTAATTTACAGAAATTGTTGACATTTGACCGGCTATTTCGTTATACTAATTCAAATAATGAATATAAATTTCATACAGATCGGATTATAACTTTTGTCATTCAACAAAGTAAAACAAGGGCCATAAATTTAGAAGTAATTGGCAGAAATTGCTGAAATTCAATAGACGTCTTCGTTTCACTAATTTAAATAATGCATATAAATTTCATACAGATCGGATAATAACTTTCATCATTGGAGCGTTCAGAAGGTTCAACAAGGTGAAACAAGGGCCATAACTCTACAAGGACTTATTTGAAATTGCTGAAATTCAACAGGATTCTTGGTTTCACTAATTTAAATAATGCATATAAATTTCGTACAAATCAGATGATAACTTGATGGCAATATACGCCCACATTGTCATGTGGGCGTATAAAAAAAGACGATGACATATGATTATATTGAAAATTTATGTCAAATTACTTGATCCTGCGCGAATTTGTGATTTTCAAGTAAAATTGCTACGATGATTGACAAAGTATCGAGTACCTAACATCCCCCACCCCACCCCCAAAAAAGAGACCTGCAATAGGTAGATTTAGCTCTTACATAATGCTTCTTTAAAGATAATCTGTCTATATCTACGTCCATCAATTCAATTTCATTTATGTTTTACTTGAGTTCTCGTGTTCTTATTTTATGCAATAGTGACGTCATGGGTAGTCATGACAACAAAATATATGAAAAAGGAAAATGCAGCAAATAGAATGAAATCAAGGATCTGCATAGAAAAACAACTTTTTATTATGCAATAAAATATTAAGGCACAAAACAAAATGATTTACCACTGTGCAGGCTTGTTGTGTATCTTTGACTTTCTTAGAAGTGCATGAATAAGGTTTCTTAGTGTAGCAAATAAAAAAAAGAAAGAAAAAAAGCGTAACAAAACTGACGACTCTTAATTCAGCAAACGTCACAGCGAATATTGGAGATACAGATAGACTTTTTGTAGGAGGTGTAAAACGTAAATAGACATACTAAATCATGCTCAATATCTCAATGTAAACATAATGCTCAATATCTCTATGTAAACATAATGCTCACTATCTCAATATAAACATAATGCTCAATATCTCAATCTAAACATAATTACGTAATGAGAAGAATAATATTGAGCAGCCATTGAAGAAGGGCGAGTCTTTGTAAACTGTCTCGTTTGCTATTAATGACAGATTATAAGCAGAGTAGACGGATTGCGGAGGCTTTTATTGGGGGTCCAGAATTGAAGAATAAGCTTTGAGAATCGCTAACACTATGCTATTTGTGCATTTTAAATCTCCACGATCAACCCCATATATTAGCTTTGCCTGAAGACATTGTTGCACTGTGCTCTAACTTTGACAGAAAGCGTGAAGTCTAGCATAATCTTTAGTGGTCTGCTTCATGCAGAAAACCAAGGGTTATCTATCCTTGATGTCAGACACAATGACCTTTAAAGGTGGTAGATAATTAACGTACCAGTGAGTCCTGTATTCTGTAGTATTGGTTCCCTACTTGTATAGCATGGTACAGAACTGGTAGTGGGTATCACAACGTTTTTACCATTTAAAAAAAGGGTTGAATTAGAACCAAAAGTAACTCTGTCTTTTTAAAACGACCCTGGAACAACCTAGTGGTTTCCCGCGATCTTAATAATTTCGGTCAAGAAACATTGAGAAATAACGCCAGAAGGCAGGCCGGTCCCCATTATTAATGCTTTGGGTATGTTCCAAAGAATGTTCCTGTCAAGTGTCATCGAGCTCCGTTAGCAAAGGGCCAAGAAATAAGACCTCAGATTAATTGTCCACAAGAGAAGAGTGAACGTGACCAGCGCTTGGACCCCTTAGGGTCCCCTTCAGCATCACTGGGTAGAACCTGCTTTAATCTTTAATCTTAAAATAAGAATAGCAGCAAGATTGTAATTTGTGGAAGAACGAACAATTTAATTTTGTTACAAATGTGTTGTAGGAGTGCTTAACATTTAAACAAAACCCCATTGTATAGCACATGATGAAAATAATTGTCGTACATCGTAAATAGTGAAACAGCGAACAAATCAAAACAGGTTTTACAAGTTTTGCTCAATATTGCAACAAGACAAGGCGAATTGGGTAACAAAGGTGGTGTACATTACACAGCCTTTCTGACTCAAGTCTGAAGGTCATACATATCTCAAATTGAAATGTATGTTTCGTTTACTTTCGTATGTTTAGTACGAGTTATATCACAAGCCCTTCTAAAGTTTGGGGGAATTTGTGTAATTGTTGTGTGTCTGAGAACTGGTTTATAATCCGACGTTTAGTTATTTTATTAATTCTGATGTTCTTTTTTACTAAACATAAACAGGTACTCTCAGCAAAATTATACAAAATCTGTTGATGTGAAATGATGCTATATACGGTCTCTACGTGTGAGATAATGCTATATATGGGCCCTATAATTAATGTGAAATAATGTATACTGTCCCTGCGTGTGAAATAATGTTATATAGTACCTACAGTTGATGTGAAAAAATCCCATTTACGGTCTCTACATGTGAAATAATGCTATATACGGGCTCTACAATTAATGTGAAATAATGTTATATACTGTCCCTACGTGTGAAATAATGTTATATGTGGTCCTTACAGTTTATGTGAAATAATGATATATACCGCTACTACAGTTGGTGTGAAATAATGCTATATACTGCCCATATCGTTCATGCAAAATAATGCTATTTAGTGCCCTAACAGTTCATGCGAAACAATGCTCTATACGGTCCCAACAGCTGATGTGAAATAATGCTATAATATAATGCAGTTTAGGTAACTCGTACATATAAAATTTAATGATAAATGTCGAAATAATAGATGTGAATTCGTGTAGATTTTTTTTTTAAAATAAAGTTACGTGCAGATTTTGAAAAGTCACAGAACAAAAATAATTTTTAGTTTATAGCGCGCGGTGAAAATTCTTTTTCTGTATAAACCGCGTGCTTAAAACGTCAAAACGAGGAAAAAATTTGAAAGGAAATGCAAAAACAAAACACTTACCCTGTGTAGATATTTGCTGAATGAAATAACACTGTATGAAAATTATCCATAATTTCCTAATAAAAATGTTCGCCTCGTTAGCAGACATGATCCAATAAAATAGAATCTACAACATAAAGTTCTTCTAGCTGCGGCCGACCATAAGTGAAAAAAAAAATCACTTAAGTAATGTGCACCCCCAAAACTTGTCTTCACTGGAGCGAAGTTAGGTGTCTGTATCTATTTCTAATTAAACGTTTACACTGTCGTCACAGAGAAAAAGATGTCCGTGCTTTACCCTCCGCCAGATTCAGTTATCCGCCAGAAGACTATTCACTATAAAGTTAAGCTGCCAAAATGAATGTCGTAATTGTTGTATAAATTGGTGTTGAAAAGTTACAAAGCTACGTTGTAGCAGTTTGGAAACATGGCCTCAGGCGATGCGAGGTAATTATGTGCCACTCTTGTAAAGTCAACAAAATATATGTGGTGTGTACGAATATTTATGGGTTAGTGACAAGAGTGAAACGCTGGAAAAGACAGTCGACATACCGTCAGGTGATCAAGGCTTGTGACTTAACTTCTAGGCATACCTCCCATATCCTCAACCTCAGCTTGTAACGGTGAAGCAAACGGTCCCTAGCACGCCGACTTCTCGGTGACGGCTTAAATTCATTAGCATTAGGATTAACTTGCGCCTTTTAACGTTGTGGATGCGGCGTCCATGTTTTGTAGGTTGTAAGCAGGAGATAATTAAAACAGGTTGACAGTTAAGTCTACCACAGTGAGAGGGGAGACGAGAGTGGCCGCTTGACATTTTCGGGTTTGATATCAGGGAATCAACTGATAATATTGGAACGTTCGGTGCCAAGGACACGACCCAAGGTATAAATAGACAGAGATTTGGTATTGTAGAATGTTAGCATTCCGCCTTTTCACTGTACATTTTTATATAACATATTTTGTATTTACGTGAAATTATTTCGGGTACGTTGTAGTGGACAGCGGTCATCCGTAAATACCTATCTGATGGTTATTTGACATTTTACATGTAAATACGTTCATTGTTATCTTGTTCCTTCCCTATTGGTTTATAAAAAACTATTACAGAGCGAGAGAGAGAGAGAGAGAGAGAGAGAGAGAGAGAGCATGACACAAGGTTCTGTGCTGGGACAAAGTCTGTTTAATGTTTATACACATGACATGATACAGTGAATATTTTGTTTTTTATTTAACTGAGACCGCTTGACTAAATCTGGGTCATTTCTGGGCTAACATTTGGTTCAATTTGCTCGTAATGGGGTCTTTAGCAGTAGGAGAAAACAATATAAGGTTGGACATACAACCCTACACATACAAGCTAGGGATCGAAATCACGCCACTTTGCTGAGTGACAGGTCTTATGATCTAAAGTGCACACAGTTCAGCTGGACATGTTAACATTATAGTATAGTGTATGTATGAAATATACGATTCGTTTCATATTTTATTGGTTTGCTCTACATTTAATTTGAGTGATATCGATTATGATTATTGTGTATATGTAAATGTATATACATGTATTGGAGATGGCGTTCTAAGTTGTAAAATTGGTACCCTACCTACTGGTTATTTTTACTTTTGAAGCAAGTAAAAATAAACCCTTCTTATTTATTTTTAAGCATATCCAGTTAAATCATAGCTTAAGAACATAAAAGAATATTTTGAAAGAGGTATATGAATAATACTCGATCCACCAGGCTTCAAACGTAATTTAGATGTATAGCAATTACTTAACAAAAACTTGTTATATATACACCAAATTGATATCATCATAGTTATGTTTATATATAGCAGTTTAATAATCGTAGTGATGTTTATAAGATATATAATAATTTTAATCTGTAATACGAAGTATTAGGTAACCCTTTATGTTACTACATGAGTTAGCCGTACGTCCTAGTGATAGATAACGGTTATGTTACTACAAACACAAGAGATAAGACCTCTAGCCTTGCTTTTTTTGAGAAATTTAAACAAAAAGGCCGTAATATTTACAAAAGTAATTAGTGAAGTTTGCTCAGATATAGCATGTTTTGTGACAAACGTGTCGATCTTGCAATGTATACAACATGTAAGTAGGAATTATTCTAGTTGAAACATTAAATAGATAATAGTTGCATAATGTATTAAGGATTGGCTATAATCCAAACAAACCTGTACACGGTGATAGAAGATGTATGCATCCAATATATATTTCATTTTTCGCTTAAGCCCCTATAGTATTGAGAATTATGCATTTGAAATTTGCGTTCTGTTGTTATCTCTGTAGCCATCAAATATTAACATTTATTTATGATTTAATATTTCATACATATACATCAGGACACCGAACGCCATTTACATAAACGTTATTATTTGATGGACATAGAGATAACAACAGAGCGCAAAATTCAAACGTATAATTCTCAATACTATAAATATTTCAGATTCGTAGGTTCGCCAGAAACGCAACGATATACGCCCTACAAAACACCTGTGTTTACGGTTATCCGACCGACTCTATCGTTTTTTAAACCAAATGAAATGAAATTAAATGAAATGGAGTTTAACGTCCTACTGTTCTGCTCCTAACATGGGCTAATGAAGACGGGCATACGCCATACAGTGTGCTATGAGGGAAATTTTGCCCGGACAGCGGCACTACGGCCTACTCTTATATCGAATTCCAACTGCCAAGGGATCTTTTACGTGCACGCCAATGTGTACACGGGACCTCGGTTTTTCGTCCCATCGGACGACTAGACAGCTTTCCTTGTCAGCCCCTCCGTCATGCATCACTGACAAGGGAGAACCACGCCGGAAAATCTGGATGAACTTTCTCGGCCAATACAGGGATCGAACACCCGACCTCCAGGCTAGCGAGCTAGCGTCTTACCCACTTAGCCACGTGATCCCCTTTTTAAACCAAAACCACCGACCCTTTTTTCCTCATATACCAGGTCCTATAAATCGATCTTGGTGTGATTTTCTGCAGACAAATTCCAACACTGAAATTTCGGTATTTGTATCGGTCCAAATCTGACATTATTGTCCAGAACCGTACTCAATAATTAATCCAGAAATACTAGGAAATAAATGATAAAGGTTATATAATGCAGGTATTATAGATGTAGGTTATTAAAATATTAATTTTATTAGTTCTGTTAGTTCTTCCCAACCATACCACAAAATCAAACCACAAAAAAAAAAACGTTTTCCAACCCTAAGAAACCGTAAACACGGGTATTTTTATATTTCGCTTAGTTAAAAGCTTTTCTAAACCTTTGAAGACATCGATGTGGCTCATTTAGAGATACTTTCCCGCATACAAACTGTGTGATTTGATGACATATTTGGGCTAAAAACATATTCAAACTAATTAATCTATTAAAAATATGCAATATTCTTCAAATCCCTCTGAAAACTTTGTATTCACGGGGAGATACCTCAAGCTATAAATAAACTGTTGTTAGACGCCATATCTGTCCCCTCATTTCATTGTGGGAGGGTCCATTTTTCAGAATGTATTTATCATTACTTACTGTACATTTACCATACATATTGAGGCCTTAGTAAATCCATATTTATTTTCTGTCAACGTCGTTTTCCGCCGTTTAATTTCAGAGTCTTTTGTACGTTGACACCCTTAATGTTCCCAAAACATCCTAAGCATTTGATCAAGAAATAACAACCACTCCCTCAATCAAGCCAGCACACAATAAGCTGGCAGACAACGGTTGGGTTGTCTGTTAATGATACCCTGACATTTTTGCTCAGTGCTTGCTTGCTTGCATCATGGGTGTTTTTCGGGTAATCCAGTATTTTTCTAGTAAGATTGGGTGTTTGTACTTTCCATATATACCAAGTAGATACCAGATGATGCCATTTTTATTTGGTGTTTACACCCAGATTAGATCAAAGAGCCGCGGTGGCTCAGTGAGTAAGAAAGTTTTGGTCACGAAAGTTCCTTGAGATTTTCCCGCGTGCCCCCCCCCCCTTGTCAGTGATGCAGTACGGGGGGTTTGGTAAGGAGAGCGCCCAGTGGTTGGGATGGGGCGAAAAGGTGAGGTCCCGTGTCAATCTGTTTCACAGAAGATTACGAAGTCCGAGCAAAATGTCCCGTTAGGCCTAGGTGCAGAAAAGTAAACCCCATTTTATTCATTACACCCATATATGATCAGTTTACAAACAGGGAGGGGATCACGTGGCTAAGTGGGTAAGACGCTGGCTCGCTAGCCTGGAGGTCAGGTGTTCGATCCGATGCATTGGCCGAGAAAGTTCATCCATATTTTCCGGCGTGGTTTCCCCTTGTCAGTGATGCAAGGACAGCTGTCTAGTCGTTCGGATGGGACGAAAAACCGAGGTTCCGGTGTACAAATTGGCGTGTACGTAAAAGATCCCTTGGCAGTTGGAATTCGATATAAGAGTAGGCCGTAGCGCCGCTGCCCGGGCAAAATTTATCTCATAGTACACTGTATGGCGTATGCCCGTCTTCATTAGCCCAGTTTAGGAGCAAAACAGTAGGACGTTAAACCCCATTTCTTTTCATTTCATTTCATTTACAAACAAGGAAAGGAGATAACCATTGGTAAACGGATACAGACCACCAATAATTTTCCAATACCGAGGATGGGTCCAAAGCACTTTTATAGTAGGTATACGGTAGGCCAACTTTTGTATTTAGGCCAAAAGTTGTAGGTTAAAGTTTATAATTTCATAACGTACATATAGATAGGCGCAAAATGCGATAGTCGTTAACGAACGTTCAAATAATTATAAAGTCCGGTAAGCTAAAACTATTGGTGAATAAAGTACGTAAAAGCATAAAGCTTATAATGACGCAGAAATACGTCAGATTTTCGTATTACGTCATAAATTTTGCAGACGATATTTCGAGGCAAGAAAAGATGGCGAATTTCCGGGCACATGTTTTGTATTGTGGTATACTTTGTTCTGGGTTAGTGAGTGGTTACACAGTGGGAAAAATTTTCAACTTTATTTTGAACAAATGGGTGAGTTGTAGCCTATGTGTGGAAATATAGGTATGACGCACCGGCCAACAAGATGGACGCTAAACAAAATGACGTCATCAATCTTGCTAGGCTATTTGAAGAGTAGCCTTTCTTTATATCCTAATACTAATTTTCCGCCCGTAATGTTTTTCTAGCCACTGTTTTTAAGGGCAAAATGGTGTTTCCGCTGAGCAATAATCACCTGGAGAAACTCTCCTGTTTAGAATTTAAACTACGATATTAGATAAGCTACTTGTGGGGGTTAATTAATCGAACTAATTAATGCTTAATTTGATGAATGTTTTGGATTCTGTGACTATTTTTACGGAACCGTAAAGAACATCTTGTAGGCTATGTTTACGGCACTTCCCGTCGCATCTGCGCATCGGGAAAATATTCGACAGTCGTACGCAATGACGTCTAGGCTATATTAGAGTTAGAGTTCGGGTAAGCTTCCAACCTTGACCCTAAAAATTATAGCCCAAAGATTTTTGTCTACGTCACTGCCGTAAAATAGCCCAAACTCTTTTGTCTTTATTTGGGTCCAATATTTTTCCGATGCGCAGGCGCGACGGGAAGTACCGTAAAAATAGCCC